GGTTTTCTAGGCATGAGACTGTTCCTGGTCAGTGGCTTGGTCGTCCAGCAGCTCTGTGGGATCCCCATCGGAGGGCCCCTCAGCGGGGCTGTCCTTCACGCTGTGCTCAGCGACCTGGAGTTTAGCACCGACTCTCGGTACCCAGGCCGACGGAGCACTATCATGACTGGGCGGTATGTTGATGATATCATCCTGGCTTCTAAGGTTTGTTGTAGCAAATGTCTAAAGCGCCTGGTGTGGCACGTCTATGGCAGCACGGTCAAGTTTGACTACACTGAGCCTACCCAGATCAACCCATCTACTCTAATGGCTCCCTACCTGGAGGCCGTATTATTCTTTACGCACAAGGGGTGTACCAATTGGGTTATCCATAAGAATGAAGCATATGGGTTCTCGGGTCGTGCGTCGGAGCTAGCCAAACAATCACTACCTCCCTACTTAGGAGTGTTCCCACCAGCCCTACTTAAACAACATCGAGCTGAGTTACGGGGTCGACTTAGACGATGGCAACAACTACGTGTTTGTGATCTTAACTGGCTTATACTGATTTGTAGCGATGTACTTTTACTTCTTCGCCTAGGCTATAGTGGTCAACATATACACCGCATATGGTATGATATCCTCCCACCCTCGCAGCAATTGGAAATAAGCAAAGCAGCCATAAGACTCGTTCTCCTCACCTCAAAGGCCCTGAGAGCCCCACCAGGTACCCTTGCAGCTGTCTTTTCTCAGAGCCTGGCGGGAACAGCTACTCCAACTCAGACTGACGTTCGGACCCCACCTACGTCGGCAGCGAGTGGGATGTTCAGCTCTTGGCGCAGCAAGGGCAGCGGCAAAGCTGGCAACAAGGGTGGACCCTACACCCCTCGGTTCCAGCAGTTCCAGCAGCCCCAGTGGGGCAAGGGCAGCAACTACAACAAATACGGCGGTGGTGGTTCCTCTCAGGGAGGCTTCACGGGGATGCTCGGCCAGATGACCTCCGTGATGGACAACATCGCAGCCTTGGGCGAACTCACGCGGGTGGGCAACGCCCTGGCCCAGACGCAGCAGCAGCCTATCCAGCCTGTCCCACCCGCCGTGGGGGCGACCCCGCCTGCCACGCCGCCTGGGGCGGCACCCGGTGCTGACATACCGGGGGTCCCGACCACCTCGGAGCCCGCGCGCGAGCTCGTCAGCGCCCTCACGGACGTGCTCCGCAACAGTGCGCCTGGCGACTCACGGCTGCAGCAGACTGTGGATCGCCTCCACAATCTTGTCGGCAACCCGTCCACGGCCAACGGGTCGGCCTCAGGCAACTCCCAGCTAGCTCAGCACCCCGTCATCCAGCAGCTGCAGTCCAACATGGCGACGCTCCAGTCCACTGTCGATGCCCACGGCCAGCAGATCGGGACGATCAACACCACGCTTGCCAGCGCGGCGGAGGACTCGAGGGCGACCAGGGAGATGATGGAGCGAATGATGGGTATGCCCCACCGTCCGCCTGCCACACCCCAGAATGGCCTGCCGCGTCATCTCGGCCCTCCAAGCCCTGAGGCTGGTAGTGCCGCTCCTGGTGCAGGGGGTGGTACAGGCGGCGGCGCGGGCCCACTGGTCAAGCCTCAGATGACGGTAGCCGATCATGACCACGCCATCGCTATCTTGGGCATCGGCGCCCAGAGGCAGAATATGGTCCAGCTCAGCCAGGAGATTGCCTCGTCCGAGGGCGCCGTGATGCCCTACAGTGAGTGGTGGACGCAGATTGCTCGATGCAAAGGGATCGCCCAGTGGCAGACGAAGCTCCAGGCGATTGGTCTCCCTGAAGGCAACCCAACAGCCGCCTCGAGCTTCAACAAGATAGGCCAGATCATCTACTCCAAGATTCAGCACGACGGGACCTGGAGCGATACCGACCTTCAGACGATCACACTCTCATGATTGGCCACACCTGAAGTGAACTATTCGGAGCTGGCTTTCAAAGGGGAAATGGTGTGGCCGATGCTCCGTGTGTTCTCGTTGCTGATTCCTTTAGTTACCTTTATCTGGACGGCGTACCAGACATGCATCTTCATCGGCTTTGCGAGACTTTCGGCCGAGAATTTGCTCACCTTTGCCATCCAGCGCGTGCTTTCAATGTTTCCACTTCTCGCGCTTAGAGTTGTATCTGCCTTTGTCTGGCCCAATGCGGCCCACTGGATCAATTCACTCATGGCTATGCTTGGTGGTTTCTCTCAGGGAGAAGCTGTCAACCCTCCCAAGCCGATTCTAGACGGCAAAGGAGGCGGCGAGTCATGGGCATGGTTCGCCGCGATTTCTCAGCCACTCCTTGTTGGCCTGTGCGCCTGGATGGGCCAGTGACGGCCGACACTCACACCGACGGCGAGCATGCTGCCGAGGTGACGGTCCTGCTGGTCCACAGCAGGCCTGATATGACAGCTTGTTTTCATTCCCTCCCCTGATCTAATTGGTCGGGATGTGTGTGCTTCTTTCAACATACTATTAGACTCGTTTTACAGTTCTCTTAGAGTTCCGACGTGTCTTTGCCCTGCACACACACTTGTGAGCGTAGCGTTTCAGAATACGATTGCTCGTTTGTTTATTGTTTGTGCTCGATAAGTGTAGGGAAATCCGCATGACGGTCGAGCCCAGTAGACAGCAGCCCAACAGCCTGATAATATTGTTTTTGTTTTCCTCTCTCCTTCTTCCTTCCTCCTTCCTCTTCCTCCCCTGCCTCGTCTCGCTCCCGCTCCCAAGGTCCAAAAGCAACAGGCTAGTAGTATCTGTTCTTATCAGTATCATTTGCTTGATTGCCGCTTCTCACACCACAGACATTTCAGTATCAGACCTCCGAGCGGGGGTTTAGGAGCTCGCTCAAGCCGACACGTCGGCGCATATACGTATAGGCTCCCGCTCGGTTGATCTCGCCCGCTTGTGCTGAGGAAAAGGATACACTGAAAACTCGCAGGGATCCTGACCTACGAAGGCCTCCACGGGGACTCGAAGTGGGACTCAAAACAAGATTGGTTAACTTCTCATCACTTGTGTGTGTGTTTTGTGTGTGTGTGCTTTTTCCCACAGACTGCCACCCTGCAGTACCAGCTGCACGCAGCAGATGATGCAACCCCTCCTTCACCAGTGCCCCTCTCTTGCCGTCCGACCCGAGACGCGCTGACCCGAGTCAAGGCTCAGCCGGGTCAGCCAGGACCATGCCGCGAACTCCGGCTGGCCGCCCAGGTTTGGGAGCCGACTCCCCGGAGGTTATCGTGGAAAAGTCCACGGGCCATCAAACCCGATTGAGCGGCCACAAGCCGAACATCGACTGGACACGCTCCAAGATTGAGCCCACGATTAAGCCGGGCTGCACTGAATTGGGCCGGGTTAGAACCCCGGCCTCCTCCCCAGGCAAGTCGGGGTCGCGCAAACATGGATTAGCGATCCATGGATTTGGCGCGCGGTCGCCAAATCATTGGATCTCGGGAGCGGCCAAGAGGGGAGTGTCCAAGAGGGGGGGTGCAAATCATGACCGGCGGCATGTGCGCGGCCCAGCGGGGGACCCAGGGACGTAATGAAATTAGCAGAGGCGCCATAAAATCTGAGGAAATATCATGGCCCCCGCCATGATATCCGTTTTGCCGTTTTTTTGCTTGTTCCGACGCCGTTATTTTACCGGTTCAGGATGTCAATTGTTTTTTGTAGGAACGTCACGCCTTCCACAGCCCAACCATCGGAATCCAAGAAACCCAGGGCACCCTGGAGGCAAGCAGGGTGTTTCTTGGCATGGTCCTCCACTGTAGGTCCGAAGCCCATGTCACATAGCGAGCATGCACGTGCTGGAGGGGATGAGGAAGGAAGTGACGCAGAAAGGCCCCCACCGCCCAGTCCCACATCCCTGCTAGACTCAGCACTCGCAAACACTTCAACCAAGAGCCCGTACAAGACCGTGGTGGCGTGGCCCTCGTGCCAGGGCGTAGGGTAAGAGGGGGAACACACATGATGGAAACGGCTAGCACAGATGCCTGGCTGTAATAAGTGGGAGATGTTGGGAGCGTCCGAAGGGATGACGGCCGTGGGAAGCAAGTGGGGGACGCCGAAGACGCAAGTGTCAAACCGAAATGCGAGGCCACATGAAGCCCAGCCACAATGCGAAGATCAGGGAGACACAGTTGGCGTGATCAATGGCTTGGGGGGCATACGGGGAGCAGCAACACGCCCTGAACCTTGCATTTCCAGCGCAAAACGAAATGCTAAAGAGTTTCTCTGATGCCTTTAAAGTGTCCTGGTCCTGAAGCGCCTGCTGGCGCTCTTCGCGGAGTCCCTCCTCCTCCTCCTCCTCCTCCTCCTCCTCCTCCTCTTCGTCCTCCTGCCCCCACCAGGTTGTCTCGAAAGGCCCCCCCCTCCCCCAGGAGGCAGAAAGGCCAGAGACGCCCCCAGAAAACCTTTGGCCCCGATCCTCCATCCCTTCCACTGGGGGGCAACGATAGGGGGGGACTGGCATAGGGGGGGATGCATCGACCTGGAATCGGCGATACATCGCCGATAGATCGGCGATAGGCCCCCGATAGTGAACCCGCACCTTCCTGGGCAGGTTGGGGCAATCGGGCCCCTATCGGCGATCAATGGGCGATTGGGGGCCGCTGCATCCCCACCTATGCCTATCCCCCCCTATCGTTGCCCCTGATCCACGCTCCCCAGATAAACCGCGCGCACCGCAAAAAAACAAAAAGAAGCGACGGACGTCCAGGAGGCCGCTCTTCCGCACAGGCCCAGCTCCCGGCACCGCAGCTTGGTCGCCATCCTCCCCCGAAGGTGTCACCCCCTCCTCTCTCCCCGCCCCCTCCCCAACTGGACCTCCCTCTCCTCCTGGACCTCCTGGACCTCCTCCTCCTCCTCCTCCTCCTCCTCCTCCTCCTCCCGTTTCTCCGTCGGGATCGGGCACCCGGGCAGCGAACGTTGCGCGCGTCGCCCCCCCCCACGCCTCCCGCCCCCATCCCCCCCACCCGACAAGGCGGGGCGAGCGGGGCGGCCGGGATGCTGTAGCTGTGCCGGAAGGACAGCACAACCTGCAGCGCCGGGGGCGGACTCAAGAACTGGGGGAGCTCAAGAGTTGGGGGCGAGAGGTCGCCTGCGAGAAGAGGGTCGGCGAAGGAACGGCGGACTACCCCTGCACATGCCGCTTTCCCCCACCGACGGGCCGTCCCCTTCGAGGAGGAGGGTCGGCCGGTGTCTGGCCTGGACCGCAGGAGAACCTCATGAGCTTCGCGCTTCCCTTCTCTGAAGGGGCCCTGGGACATACAAATAAATACACACGAATAAAAGGAATCCCCATAGTTTCCCACACTCTCTCGGTTTTTGTCTTTCCCCCCACTTCCCATATTTTCCAATCTTTTCGGGGGAATCGACGATTCATTGTGTCTGTGTGTTTCTTTCCCTCCTGATTCTCCCCGGGGAAGGCGAGGCTCACGAGGTTGCCCGCGCGCATCCCCCAAAGCTACAGGCTGCCTCCGCCAGGCCCCCGGGGCAGCCCTGGACGCCTCGGCGCCCGGTGCCGCCCCCCCAGCGGCCCAAGCGGGTGCCGGATCTGTCTTTGGGGGGCGGAGGAATTGTGTGTGCGTGTGCGGGGGCTCACCGCGTCGACCTGGCACCTGCAATGCTGGGTGAAATGCACTTGTCTGCGACCAGCTCATGGTCTCGATACCGAAAGACTACGTCAACGGCGGAGGAGACAACACATATGGGCTTCATCGAGATCTGTGCGGGTGAACACTCACGGATATAAATCCGCCGACCCTGTCGGCGTGTGGAAGAGGCTTCTCCGTCTGCCTCCTCTTCGTCGTCGTCCTGGTCCTTTCCCTTTTCCCAGAGCGTCTTCTCCTTTTCCGGGGCCTCATCCGCAAGCGTTTCGGTCCAAACCGAAATTGAGTAACATCGTCATTGAGTCGAAAGGAAGCCCCTTCCCTTTGATCCCTTCCCAGGGGGGGGGGGGGTCCTGGGGAAGGACCCGGGGGAGCACCCGGGGGAGGTCCCGTGTCAGATACGCAGCCGCCCCTCCCCCTGAAGATGACCTCCAAGATCGCTCATGTAGCCCTCGATGGCTCCAGATCGCTCCCAAGAAGCCTAATAGAGGCTCGAAGATCGCGCCAAGACGCCTCCAAGTAGCCACGAAAGCTTCCAAGAACGCTCCCACGATGGCTCCAGGTAGCCCCGGAGCCTCCCAAGGACGTTCCCGAGAGGCCCCAATTATCGATTTCCCATAGGGAAACGTACACTTTTGGCCAATACGACTTTTCGGCCTTCACGGCGTTGAAGACAATCCAAAAAGCCCCCAAGAAGGCTCCAACACGGCTGAAGAGGCTCCTAAGAGGCGCCCAAAACGGCCCACGAAGGCGCCAAGACGGCCCCAGAGGATACCAAGACGGCCCAAGAGGGCCCCAAGAGGGGCCCAAGACGGGGAGCCCGAACCAAAAATCCGAGCCTTCCGCCCCAAGGAGCTCCCTGGATGCCCCAAGAGGCCCCCAAGAGGCCGCAGGAGACCCCGAAGAGGCCCCCAAGAGGCCCCAAGAGCCCCCCAAGAGGCCCAACAGATGCCCCAAGAGACACCAAAACGGGCCCCTTCTCCACCTCCTCCTCCTCCTCTTTTTCCTCCTCCTCCTCCTCCTCCTCCTCCTCCTCCTCCTCCTCCTCCCCTCCCTTGCTCCCCTTGGAGACCTGGGTCTGGTCTTGCCCACACCGCCACCACCAGCCCCTGGTTGTTCCCTCTCACTGACAGATCGCTGTCTTCAGGGTCGACGGCACCGGCCGTATGCCTTCGCAAGATATGTGTAAATGAAAATAGACTCATGTGTATGGCTGTATGTGTGCGCGTGTGGTTTTCAGAAGATGCCAAGGGGAGATCAGACATCCCAGCGAAAGGCGGATGGGATGTGGAGGCCGCCGTGGACTGTCCCGTGGGTCTGCGGACGGCAGCTGGGACAACCTGAGGCTGGTGGCGCGCACACGCACACACACACACACACACATACACACAAACACGTGGGGGCGGCTTTCTAAGACGTAAGACGTGGCCAGGACAGGGACAACATCGTACTGGGACGCAGCGGATATCTCAGAGATCCGGCGGTTCTGGCGGATGTATCGGGCGCCGCAGCTGGGCTGCCCCAAAGCGCTCCGGAGCGCTCTGAGAACGCTCGGGAGCGCTGTGGGGTGATTTGTCCTCGTCCTAGGCCTGTTTGAGAAAGAGCGGGGGCTCAGTCCCTGGGGCCTTGGAAGGCCGCCCCCCTGCCCCTCCCCCCTGCGCGCCGCCAGGTCCGGAAGTTGTATGCGCAGGCCCTGGGCTGGATGGGGGCGCACTCGATCGCAGTCGCTGTCAAAGGCGGCGGCGTGTAATCCCACCAGCCCCCTGGGTGTGTGTGTGGTTAAGCGAGGTTCCTCTTCCATCTGCCCTCCTTCCCTTCGCGGAAAGGTTTGCCCCTCCCCCTATCCCCTACCCCTGGATCTGGAGGGGAGCTTCCACGAGACGTTGGAGCGCCCAAGATGGCCTCGGCGAGAAAGCCCAAATCACTGATTGCACAAAGGTTTTGGCTACATGTTGGCCTCCTGGGAGGGGGGACCCGAATTGGAGCAGCACCCTCCTTTGATCGATCTTCTTCGTAATTGCCCAGATCTGGCGCCACAGTCCCAAGGGTACCCTATGGGATGGCCCCGAGGTCCCCAGGAGGCTCCTGAGATACCGCCAAGTTTGAGGCCCCTCCGTTGCCCCTTAGAGGCACCCAAAACGCCCGAAGAATCCTCGGCGAGAAGGCGGCACGCAACGCCGTTGGGCGGCGGCCGCCTTGCTTGGTGCCAGGCAAGGCATTTCTGTGGGAGGTGATGCCCAGGGTCGGGGGTCGTCACAAGCGGAGCCTGGGTCGATACCATCCCGAAGTATCGCTGTCCCCATACCACGTTTGTTGCCACCAAGTGGTCTTGTCATCCGATTCGGTGTCGGGCTCTGGCAAAAGCTCTATTGTTTGCACATGGTATGGGCCAGAATATTGCAGGAACTCCCCCACGACAGCAACGTTACCCACTTCGCGGGCGACCCTCGCTACCATAATGCCGATATCTTTGAACAGTTCGAGACGTGACCTTATCGTTTATCCTCAACCGCAAAAAGCCCCCAACTTCTCGGCTTTGTATATTTCAATGGCTTTGCTTCGTTTTCCTTTGGGTTCCTTGGTCATGTGGACCCATCTGCAGGGATGTATACCAAGGTTCGTGGATCCGGGGATCTTCTCCAAGAAATGGGCACACTATTGAGAATCCTTAACATGTACCCGATTGACAGGTTCGTAGTCAGGATCGTATCGCGAAACTACACGCACGGTGCATGTCGTTTGCTTACCTGTCAGCGACGGCTTTTGAGATAGCTTGCCAATAGACCATCCATAAACAAGTTGTTCAGGCGCATGGGAAGGCGTGGGCACTTTCTCACGTCCGGACACGTAAGCCGCCGCACCTCTGGCACAGCCTCGAGTCGCCCTGCTAGAAAGATCGGGGGCAAGAACATCAAACAACAACTTCTGGGAGGTCTTGGCAAGACCGGCTAAAAGCTTACAATCCCGATTGAAAGGCTACTAAACAAATTCAACCGGATTCAGATCATGGTGACGCCCGATTAACCTGGACTAAGACATCTCATTCGGAGTTGGCCGCTTTTCGACCACGGATATACCAGCGCCGATACTTAATTTAGGCTCCCAGGAGTTGCGTCTTCAATAACAGCGTCAACGCCTTGCCGAACGAACGACCCCTTCAGAGCGTCGAGGTCGATGGCATGCGACGTTTTCGTGCCAAGCGGAGGCGAGCAGCACGCGCAGTCTGAAAGACGGTCCGCGTGTGATTGACAAACCGTTGCCCCTTCCGAAGGAGGTGTGCCGTTCGCGCGGGCCTCGCGGGCGAACGCGAACCCGACTTGCAGGAAGCAGAGGGTGCCGACCTTGCACAGGGTCCTGCGCCGGGGGGGGGGGCGGCGGCTTTCGATGAAGGAGGCGACCTGCTGGACGGAGAGGGGTCCCTGAAATTCCTCGCCGCCTGCGGGCCCCCCTCGAGGGGGACCTCCGCGGGCCCCGAGGGGCCGTCCGAAGGCGGCTTCGGGGGGGGCCCCGTGTCCCTCATGGCCGAGTTGAAGGGACATCCCGAAGACGGCTTCTGGCGGATCTCAGACAGGTCGGGCGTTCCGGGAGCTAAAACAGGGCTAGGATCGGGATAAATCGCTCCAGAGCGTTCTGGAGCGCTCTCTGAGCGTTCCGGAACGCTCTGGAGCGGCCGCGGCGCCCAATACATCCTCCAAACCCGCCGATTCTCAGAGATTTCGAGTTATCCCGATCTGATTTTGTCCCGATCTTCGCGTCGTTTTAGGGAGCGCTCGCGGGTCTCCCTTGGCCATGGACTGTATCCGGGCCCGTCTCGTCGCGCCAGCGTGGCGTGGAAACAGGAGACGTCCCAGAGCTTCACCCTTCGGAGGACGCTCCTCGGACAACCCGCACACGCCCCCACCAAGATCGCAACCACACGCAACTCTCTGTTGACCTCAACTGCGAAGAGTCCCGCCTTCTGCTGCACAATTACCCACCTCGCTGCTAGGAGTCACGCTGCGCCCCGCCTGCAGATATGCGAGGCCCAGAGGCCGAGCGTGGCAAGATGCACCGCGAAAGTTGCCAGGGGAGTCACGCTACACATAGCGAAGAGGCGAGCACGGCATCTCCTGCCACCCAACGACGGCTTAGTAACGCCTGGGCGGGGCATGAAGAAATGGAACTGAGAGGAGGCGGGAGCAGGAGGAAATTCTCCGGCCCAGCGGGCCAAAGGCGTGCCAGAATGTATGGTCAGCAGCTCGTCGTGACTGCGCTTTGAGATGGCACGAGCGTGGCGTCCCCCGGGGGACTCTGAAGGAAAAAAAATCCCAGACACCCTCCAGAGAAACTTTCTCGTCGGCGGCTAGGCAGGGGCGCTGGCGGATGAAGCTAACTAACCGGGGGCAACGTTGTAGCGAATTGGCCACCGTGCAAGAGGGGGGAAGGCGGAAAAGCGGGCGGCCGCGGGGAGAGGAAAACACCCTCCTGAGAAACAGGGGTCAGAGATGGTTTTGCTCATGGGTGCGGCCCTGTGATCGTCCCAAGAGACCTGATACAAAGCCCAGGAGCGCCCGGGGAGACCGGATCAATGATTGGCATTCCCCAGCATGCCCCCCCTATACAACCCCCAACACATTCAAGACAGCTCCAAGGGTGGCCAAGATGGTCCAAGACATCCCCCAAGATGCCTGCGGGAGGCTAAAACCAACAAAGAGATGCATGGTTTCAATGATTGTGATTTTCTTGACGGCTCGCTGCCCACAGGGTTCTGAAGCCTCAACTTGGTTCCAAGATCGCTCCTGATGGTTCCAACTGCGACTGGCCTGGACGGCCCCAAATGATGTTGGCTGTCTCCCCGGTCCGCTCCCTATGATCTTCAGGGCGGCCCAAGATGGACTCAAGAAACTCCAAGAGAGAGAGCAAGAATTCTCCGCGCACCCTTAATGTAAACTTTCTGATGCGCGGTGCCACCAAAGCCCATAACCGATACCGTCGAGGTGGCCCTTTTGCTCGTGAGGCCACCAAAGAGCGGCATCAAGGTTCTCAGCATTAGAATTCGATCCGCAGGCTACGTTTGCAGAGCTAACAGGCTGCGGAAGTATTGCTATCACCTCAGGCCTTGTCTTTGCGATTGGCAGTAGCGAGCAACCGCCATCGATGCATGATGTACTGCTGCATCCTGCAAGCTCGTCGCAAAGGAATATTGAGATAGGGTTATCAGTGCGCTTGAATTTGCCCCCTGGGCGTTACACACTGACCCGGGGCACCCCTGAACCCAACCGACTGCCAGAAGTACAACGATGTGAACTGGCGGAGTGAGCGAAGCGATCGAACAAGGAGGATGAAGAGAGGGAGGTACGCGATCGCACGAACGCCAAAACTGGCTGTCTACTGCACCAGACCCTCGCATGCGGCGCTTTCGGCCACTCGGTAACAGTGGCTCTGTGCAGCGGGCCCCGTGGCGCCCGAGAGCCCCAAGACAAGTCCAGAGGCTGCCAAGAGAGAATCACGCCCGTACACGCGGATCCCGAGTCTGCCCCAGATGGCCCGACATGCTCTCAAGAGCCAACGACGGCCCAAGGCTGCGCAAGAAGCTTTCAAGACTGGCCAGAACGCCTCCATGTCGCTCCTCATGGGCCCCACGAGGACCCCGAGAGGACCCCGAGATGCCCAGCTTACAGTTGTTCCATTAGTTTAGGAAGGAGTTCGAAACACTCGCGCGTAGGTTCAGGGCCCCGAGGACGGCCGAAGGGGCGCCCCAAGATCGCACCGAGACGGCCCAAGAGGCCCCCCCAAAGCCGACCAAGACGGCCCAAGACGACCCTAAGGGGCCCCCCAAAGCCCCCAAAACGGCCCAAGAGGGGTCCAAGACGGCCCCAAAGATGGCACAGTAAATCGCCCCAACGACCCCAAGATGCCAGAATACAGTTGCAGAGGGCCCCGAGCCTGCCGAACACCCAAGAGCCTCCAGACAGCCCCAGAGGCCCCAATATGCCACATTTATGTTGAATCCTCGGGGGACCTTGTCTGTCCCGTCGCGGCCTTATCCGTGTCGAATCCGTGTCGAATCCGCGTCGAATCCACGCCAAATCCGCGTCGAGTCCGCATCGAGCCCGTGTCGGGTACAAGAAAATACGCATTTTTGGGGGGACAAGCCAGGTCCCCCGAAGACGCAACGTAACCCCGTGACGGCTCCAGGAAGATCCCCTAAGAGGGCCTCGAGAGGTCATATGTACTGTCTTCCGCGCCAGAAGCAAAACGCGCGCATCGGCAACCATCGACTCACGCAGCTCCGTGGATCGAACCCATGTTATGTTGCATCCTCGGGGGACCTTATCTGTCCCGTCGGGGCCTTTTCCGCGTCAAATCCGTGTCGAATCCATGTCGGACTCGTCGAATCCGTGTCGAATCCGCGTCGAATCCGCGTCGAATCCACGCCAAATCCGCGTCGAGTCCGCATCGAGCCCGTGTCGGGTACAAGAAAAGACGCAAATGTTGGGGACAGGCCAGGTCCCCCGAAGATGCAACGTAACCCATGGGTTCACAGTGGTATCCTCAGAGGTACAGATGTGTAAACACACCTGAGCACGGGAACGCCATGTGAGACTTGCAATCGATTGAACTGTATACGCCCATCGTCCATCGCCAGCTCTGGAGAAGCGACAAGATACCGATACAGCTACCTCCTGGACCTCTCCCGGGGTGCGTTCTGATAAAAAGATCGAGGCGCATCCAGCGGTGGCGACGAGGGCCTCCCAGGGGGGCCAAAAAGGGGAAAACGGGCGGGGTGGGGAGGTATGGGTACCCTTTTCCTACTCTGACTATTCTCAATCACTTCCTCCGTCCATCCCTCCTCTGAGCTGCCCCAAAGCAAGAAGAGCACACGGGCGTATCAAAACGGGCATATCAAGGCAACTAAGCCTTGCAATCGATGGCACTGTATACGCCCATCGTGCATCGCCATCCGGTATTCTTAATCACTTCCTCGTCCATGCTTCCTCTGAGCTGCCCCAAAGCAAGAGGAACACACCCTCATACGCATGCGCATGCAGAGGTCTGCGGGGCGCGCGAAGCCCGCCAATAAGGCGGCGCTGGGGGCGCCGCCAGGAGGGGTCCAGCCCCGGGGCACAAACTCCGTCCGAAGGGTATGGTTAGGTCGGGCGTGTCCCCCTACAGGTGGAGTTTGGACGAAAAGTTAAAAGCACGCAAGAGAAGTGCTCCAAAGTGGTCGATAATGTTTTTGACTATTTTTGAATACTCACCCTGCAGCGGAACAGGCCCGACTTAAGGGTATGATTCTGCAGTTTGTCCTTCGTCAACACTTGAACCCAATCCCCTGAGAGCGCTCTCGCACGAGTCCTCTCGCCGAGGAGTCATTGCTCGTTATGCCTGCGTCGTCCCCTGGACCCCTCGCAGTGCTACGTCGCTTGCGCTGGGGGGGGGCTGGCGCCCCAGCCGAGGCAGGCCACGAGCACCAGCATGTACGAGAAGGTGGACTTCAGCACGGTGAGCAGCAGGGCAGCCACAAATATGACCCTCCACGAGGGGGAGCGGAATGAGTCTTCGAATAAGCAAATTCTGCATCAACGCCGAAACTGTCGGAGGCCAGCGGGGATTTCTCGGACCGGGGACGGGACCCCACCCTGTGTGCGTTGCGCGCCATGGACAGCGCGAGACACGCCGCCAAGGGGGGTTCAGCGCCGATCCGCGAAGTCCACGCCGACCCCCGGCCATGTTATGTTTGTGTTGCTTGTCTTGCTCCGAGCGTTAGGAAACCTCCTGCGGATTCGGGAGCCAGAAGAAGATGTGCATGGAAAGGGGCACACTGTAGCAACATTTTGCCCACGCACTCTCTCACAAATCATAGCGTGCAAATAGAACAATCGTGACGACATACGCAAACACCCATGTGCGCACTCGGGCATGTGAGATCTCATGAGGGCATAATGCGCAGATCACTTGAACACGGGAGGCCCTCGGCGCATATAGATAGAGCGTACGCTTGGAACCTTGTCGTTCGCCGCCTTCCATAAGTTTTCGGCGCCGGCGGAGGCGCGTGCTATTGGTGGTCGGCCGGCCTGCGCGTCACTGCTGGCTGGCGCATACTGCAATCTCCACAATGGCGACGGTGACGCGGCGAGATGCATTCGCAAGCAACATAACACTGAAGATGCAAGAACATGCATGCCGATCCCATAAGGGAGCGATACAGTGTGTGTGTGTGTGCATATACGTTAAGGAACCTTGCTGTCCGCGCCTTGCCCGCAATTCGGCGTGCTCTGACGCTTCGACACCCCCGCATTGAATCTTGTCCGCCACCGTGTTCCCTGGCATGCTGGGGCGTGCTGCCCATGCCAAGTGTTGCCTGGAAGGGTTTCTCTAATGTTCCAAGGCCCCCTCCCCCTCGAGACACGCACAGCCGATTGCACAACCCCCCTCTTCCCGAGGCCAAATATCCCTCGCCAAACACGTCAGACTCGCGCTCCCGAGGCCAAGATGCCTCCACGACGGCCACGCAACGTTCCAAAGCCAGCGATTTTGGCCTCGAAACGGCTCACGTTAGTAGAAAACGAGGTCGGGGTATCATCGTGTATAGTTAAAGAGTTACAAAGAAAAGGACATGGGTAAATCGCAATGGGAAGCAACAGTATGCCTTTTGTCCACCTCGCCGCCGCAGATCATGCACAGAGCAGGCGGCAAAGGCAAATGGGGCTGCGCCGCCTCGGAGCGCACCTTCGAACTCGAGGGGGGAAACGAACCTTGCCCGCTAACGTACGGATGCAAGAACCAAAGGGCACAACATAATGTGAAAACTCGGAAGCTGGCTGATGCAGCCACCGAAGCAATGCTGCATCAGGACGCAAGGAACGAGGAGTGCCAAGTGCTGGCATCATGCTTCCATGACTCCACTATCCCAACACCACAAGGAACTCGGCAGACGTAAGCCGGGGAATGCTGCATAGAAGCAGGGCGGACCTGTGTCGGCCCTGAACGCCTAGGAGGCGAGCCGGAGAAGTCTGGCCCCACATCGGCGCAAAGGTAGACTGCGTCGAAGTCATGCTTCCACGACGTCGACTTGAGACCTCGATCCCGCCACACTGGGTACATAATAAAGCGTGGAAGCGCGCTCCTCACTGAGCAGTCGCGGGTTCGCGAAATTCTTCGTGTGGGGCCAGACACAGGCCCGCATTCTTTTCACGTGCTGGCTGGCTGCAAGCAAGGGATCCGCCAGAACTCTCGGATCATTTGTGCAGCAAGCGCTTCTGCGGCAGACCTTCATCGCGCCTTGGGGCGATGGGACGTACATGAGCTCTCGGTGCGGTGCATGACCTGTTCCTTACTACTTGTGCCACGACGCAGAGTGTAGCAGCCTCGAAGGCCATAGCGTTTTGGTCGAATCGTCATCCTAACGGCGAGTCTGCGATACCCAGAGTCGCTGCGCAGATCCATTGAGCCATCGGGAACCATGGTTTCATGAATGTGGTCATCAAAGTCTGCAACAGTTCCCGGGCAAGGGCGTTCAATCGTCTCACCTGGCTGTTGGCAGGCTACTGTATCCGCTGCAGAGAGACAGCGTATACTATGGTCCAGAGCTGCGCGAGGGTCGCGTCTGCCAAGGACCCCATCAGGCTGACAAACACGTCACCGACGACGTTGGTAGCATGCGTGTGAAGGGGCACCGACTTGTTCAGGGTGCGCAGTTCGGCGGCATTGTTTGATGTAGTCGTTTTTGTCCATGACTGCGTCTCCGTCCTCGGTCTCGGCAGAGCGTGCTGCGCATTTGGTGCAAGTCCGCATGTTCACATTGCACTTGTCAAGCACTTGCTCCACATGCCAGGCAGATTCATTCACGCTGGTCCCTTTGCCGCAGGTGTTGATGCCGCCGACGAGCTTGGCAGTAAGTAGGTTACCGGCGGCCTAGAATTCCTGGTCGCGCGACAGATCTGAACCCAATCCTTCAGTGGCCTGTCTAGTTTGAAGGAACATGCGCGCGGTGCGTCTGCGGTGCCAGTACCTGGCGTGCGAAGCTTACGATACCGTGGCGATTCGTCATACGAAGTACAGGCACTCCCAATCCGGCAGCGTCTCTTAATCCAGCAGTGAACGAAGTACTGAGGCACTGCACGGAGGCGGGGCAAAGAGATCGTTCGCTCTTGCTCTCCAAAGGCTTCGGCCAGATCTCGGAAGGCAAATTGCGTTGAGAAAAAGACTTCGTCGGCGTCCGGGCTGGCCGAGACCAAATCGTGATAACGCGCGGCCTCGTTGACCAAAGCCGCTGGGATGCACGCCAGGCAATGCCTGAGCAGATCTCCACGGAGAACGCCTCCTGGCTGGCTCATGAAGCCGCGCTGTACAAAACGCAAACGCATGATATTTCCAACGATCCCCGCATTGATTCTTACAGGCTTCCACTTGTAGACTATCTTGGTGTCAGAACGTCCTGGGCTTTCGATCAAACATTCCTTTGTGAAGCACTCGCTGCCAGACAATATGTTGAGTTCGGTCAGCAATGCACAACGATATCTGCTTGGATTCTTAACAATCCTGCTTAGTTAGCAAAGCCGTCCGCTTTGACCACGGCTGCTCGTTAACCTCGACTGAGGTGCGCACGCGTACGTAGGATCTTTATTTCGTCGGGGTGCATCGTGCATCGTGTCAAGCTGGGGCTCATTCGGAACTGCCTTGGCCATGTTGTAGGTGAGACATCGTTCGGCAAAGCGGCCGAGTTTATCTGAGCCCATGTCGTAGTCAATGCCACCACCGTCGCTGGCAACGTCAATGGTCATCCTGGAAACTCCAGAACTTCGATCCTGGAACATGACATCGCTATATTCATGGTCATGGAGATGACGATGTCCTGCTTGAGAATGTTGTGCTCGTGCTTGTACGACCCAAGTCTTTCCCGACGGGGGGCTACCCAAGTCCTCCCCGAGTCCTCCTATCCTCCCCCGTCTCCGCCCCCGAAGCCCCCAGCGCACGCCATCGCTTTGTCCACTGGTTGCCCGGACCCTGAGCTAAAAACCACGAGGGACGCTGGCGACCACCCTGCCTCCCAGAGGGGTGGCACCATGAGCCTGGGCCATCGAACGGCGCCACAGCACCCAAAAGCCAATTTGGACGCCCGACATGGGTACGGAAAGAATGGGTATAATGCCCAACAGCAAATGGTGCCCCAAACCAACAGCGGCCGCTGTTGGGCAGGCGGCCTTCTGTCTCGAATGGACAAAGGCCGCGGCGGCGCGGACAGCGAGTGCTGTTCAAAATGAACAGGATCCGCTGTTGGGGATTGCACCCCTTCTTTCCGTGCCCATCTCGTTCGTGCAGAGCCATCACTCCAAGTCTCCGTGAATCCCGAGTCCGAACAGGGGTTCACGTCTCCCTCTTGCTTCCGCCGCCTTCCGTCGTCGGACGAGGCGCCGATCTCTGCGTCCGCTGGCCTCCGCCAGGCGGCGAGGCGGCGCCGCAGGCGGGGCCCCTCCTGGAGCGCCTCTTCTCTCCTCCGTCGCCGCTCCCGGCCCCCCCTTCGCGGGGGTAGAACGGCCGCCCGCCCGACTGCCCCCCCCCCCCCGCCCTTCAGGGCGAAGCGCCCGTGCCCGCCGTTTCCTCCTCCTCCTCCTCCTCCTCCTCCTCCTCTTCCCCCCCGCACGGCCGCGCCTCCCTCCTGCTCTTCCTCCTCCTCCTCCTGCTCCAGCTCCTGCTCCACCTCCTCCTCTTCCATCACTGATGTTGATGATGATGATGTTGATGATGACTATGTTGATGATGCGGATGCGGATGCGGATGCGGATGCGGATGCGGATGCATGCGGATGCTGATGCTGATGCTGATGCTGCTGCTGCTGCTGATGATGATGATACTGATGATGATTATGATGATGATGATGATGCTGATGATGATGCTGATGATGAAGATGAATACGCTGCTGCTGATGACGATGATGATGATGATAATGATGATAATGATGATGACGTCTATGAGTGATTCTCTCCTGGTTGGTGCTGGGGCAGGAGGGTCCCCGAGGATCCTGCGCGGATTCCGGTCGTCGCTTGAGGTCTGGGGTGGTGTTCCTCGAGGTTGCTGCGGGAAGCAGGGGATGCGCAGGACGAGGAGGAGAAGCGGCAGCAGCAGGGCTGGGGCCCAAGCCGCCCAGTGATGCCGGGAGGCAGAGGCAGCGGCAGTGACCTGCCGGGGTGCGAGCAACCCCTTCGGTCATCCACAAGACCGAAGGTGCCAAGCAGGACTACAGGGCCGTCGAAGGGGCGTCCAACTTAAGCTCGAGTGCGGCGGCGTCGACGCCGAAACGGGCCGAGGATGGGCCAAACGAGCGAGGGTGCGGAGGGGGTAGCCCTGCCGACGCGCTCCACGCTTACCCATCGTTCGCGAGAGGTGGGCGGAAACACGAATCAGGAAGGCAGTACCAAAATAGACAGGATTTCCGCCCGCCCTCTGAGAAGGAAAGGAACAGGAAAACCACCCGGTCATTGAAATAGGAAGGCGCCTGAAGTAGATTGGGATCTTGGAAAACGAAGGCACCTACAAACAAAAACAACAACAACGGGTATTGATGATCCAACGAACACGCGTTAGCGCCAACATGAATACGTGTGTGCGGGTGTGTGTGTGTGTGTGTGTGTATGTGCGTGCGCGTGTGTGTGTGTGGGTGTGCGTGTGCGTGTGCGTGTGCGTGTGCGTGTGCGTGTGCGTGTGCGTGTGCGTGTGCGTGTGCGTGTGCGTGTGCGTGTGCGTGTGCGTGTGCGTGTGCGTGTGCGTGTGCGTGTGCGTGTGCGTGTGCGTGTGCGTGTGCGTGTGCGTGTGCGTGTGCGTGTGCGTGTGCGTGTGCGTGTGCGTGTGCGTGTGCGTGTGCGTGTGCGTGTGCGTGTGTGTGTGTGTGTGTGTGTGGTGTGTGTGCGTGTGTGTGCGTGTGCGTGTGCGTGCGTGCGTGCGAGCGTGCGTGCGTGCGTGCGTGCGTGCGTGCGTGTTTCTGTGTGCGTGCGTGCGTGCGTGCGTGCGTGCGTGCGTGCGTGTGTGCGTGCGTGCGTGCGTGCGTGCGTGTGTGTGCGTGTGTGTGTGAATGTGTGTGAATGTGTGTGTGTGTGTGCGCGTGCGCGTGCGTGTGCGTGTGTGTGTGTGTGTGTGTGTGTGTGTGTCAGTGTGCCAGTGTGTCATTGTGTCAGTGTGTCAGTGTGTCAGTGTGTCTGTGTGTGTGCGTGTGTGTGTGTGTGCCTGTGTCGACTAACGTTGGCCGCGTTGGCCGCCGCCGCTCGCGCCGACCTCCCAGCGCCGCCGCTCCCCGCGCCCGCGCTGCCGCCGGATGGGGACCCCGCGAGGACCAGGACCTGGACGGACAGGGTCTGCGAGCACCCGGCGGACCCGCTGCTCGCGCGTGCTGGCTGGGGCGTGCATCTGGCGAGGCCCGGGGCCTCGCGAGAGGACCGCGGCGGCCCCGTGGAGGGGGTGCAGACCGCCCAGCGCAGCACTGCAAGCAGTTCACCTCGCGGGTCGGCCCGTGGGCATGATAACGGATTCGCAAAAATCGGCTACACGCAAGATTGACCCTGGGCAAGAGTGACCTTTGGTGCGCGGCTTTTGGGGGGACGCGGGGCTGCCAAATACAAGCGCTCAAGACGCCACTGCCGCCTCGCGTTCGGCGATCGGGGGGCCCCATTTGGCCCACACCAAAGGTCACTCCGGCGAGAGGTCATCCTTACGTCCAGTCGAAATAACCATGTCCAGGATGGCGCGGCGGGGCTCGGCCACGGCGCGTCTCCGCACGGCTGGGCGCATGCCGACCTCTGACAGCAGCTAGCGCCCCACTGCTGCTCGAGCTTCGCGGTGGCCCGGTGGGCCAAGGCCCGCCTCGACGAGGGCGCCGCTGCGGCGCGCGGGACCAGGCAGACCAGCTCGTCGGGGCAGCTGCAGCAGAGCGTCCGCCGCAGGCGGGCATCCTGCAGGGGCGCGCGGATGCACTCGCTCACGGTCCTGCGCTGCCGTCGAGCTGGCGGCGTCGAAGGCGAACCGCGCCAGATCGGGCCCGAGCGTCGCAGGAGACGATGCACTGCGTGGAGCTCCCCAGATGTGTGCATCTATGCGCATGAGCCTGTCCGCCGTGGATGTTTAGGCGCAAGAGCTTTCGAATACAAACGGGCTTCAGCTGTGACGGTCTGGTCATGAATCTAACTGCGAATGAATTGGAATGTGAATGAGCCTCAGTAGTACGAGCGCGTCTCTGCGCATGAGCCTGGGGCCTCCTGGGGCCTCCTGAAACCAACTGGGGCTCCCTGGGGCCTCCAGGAGCCTCTTGGGGCCTCCTGGGGCCTCCTGGGACCTCCTAGGGAGGATTCGTGCCCCAGGAGAGGCCCAATCTATAGCAACAGACGTACATAAAACATTGCGGATGGAGTCATAGGAAAAGAGTAATCTCTAGGAACACGTGTAAAACACCAAGGACTCGTGCCCCAGGAGAGGCCCAATATATAGGAACATAAATCCGCCGGCCCCCTTGTGGGGCCACCAGGCTGTAGGCCGAAGGTTCGCAGTTTTTTGCAGCAGTTGCAGCTTCCAGTTTCCACTGTTACAATTCTGATTTGTGCTGCTTACTGTTCCTTGTTGATGGACCGCGCGAGGGGGGGAGGCCCAGGGCGAAGCCCTTACGATAAAACATGTATGACTGTGTACACTGGAGAAGGACACTCTATTTAAAGAAACGTATCACATCAAGGATTCGTGCTCCAGGTGAGGCCCACTCTATAGGAGCATACGTAAAACACAAGGGATTGGAGCAACTCCTGTTGCCTTCTGAGGCCTCCTGCTCCTGGGGCCCCTCGGGGCCTCCTGTTGCCTTCCGAGGCCTTCTGGCACGTCTCGTGGCCTCCTGGGTGGGGCCTCCTGTGGCTTCCTGAGGCTTCCTGGAGCTTCCTGGGGCCTCCCGGAGCCTCTTGGGACATCCTGTGGCCTCTTGAGTCTTTTTGTGGCCTCCTGATGCCTCCTGGGACCTCATGTGGTCTCCTGGGGCCTCCTGGAGCCTGTTGGAGCCTCCTGTGGCATCCTGACGAGAATATGGCCCACGAGTCTGGCCACCAAAACAAGCAAACCGATCAAGACATCCTCGAGCAACGATCTGGCCATC